GCAGAAGCTTTTATCAGCAGAACATTCAGGCAAACACTTGAAACTAAGAACATCTCCTTACACTCAAAGAAATACATGTGCTGTACTAAGCAAGGGTCCTACTGCATCAATGAGAATAATTTAGTAAAGAGCTGCTTTAAACTAAAATTCAGCTCTTCTTATGTTTTGTAAAGTATGCAGTGCTTATAATCAATATTCTGCCAGCACTCATAGCAACTTTCCTTACAGTATTACAAGGTCACTAAAAATGTCATGTTGACTTATACTCACTTATGTGTAGGAGTCACATGATATAGTACATAAAATAAGAAATCAGATGTTTTATTAACTTTCCAAAGTTATGCTTGGTTTTTAGAGTGGCCTTACAAGCATTAAAAAAAATCATGTCTTCCTTGTTCCCATTTATGTCTCAGAGCAGAATGTTGGTCAAAAACAGAAAATAGGAGAGAATCATAGAATCGTCTGGTTGGAAGAGACCTTCAAGATCATCGAGTCCAACCATTCACCCTGCACTGTCAGGGTCCCTAAACCATGTTGCTCAACACCAAATCTACACGGTTTTTAAATACCTCCAGGGATGGGGACTCCACCACCTCCCTGAGCAGCCTGTTCCAATACTTCACAACCCTCTCTGTAAAGAAATTTTTCCTGATATCTAACCTAAATTTCCCCGGGCACAACTTGAGGCCATTCCCTCTTGTCCTGTCATTCATAACATGGGAGAAGAGACTGACCCCCATCTCCCTACAACTTCCTTTCAGGTAATTGTAGAGAGCGATAAGGTCCCCCCTGAGCCTCCTCTTCTCCAGACTAAACAGTCGCAGCTCCCTCAGCTGCTCCTCATAGGACAAGTTCTCTAAATCCTTCACTAGTTTTGTTGCCCTTAAATTACACAAGACAGTAATGCATCAGACTTTACAGCATAAAGTTAGGCCACCTCTTAACCCACTGAAGTTACCCATGTTGCTTTGAAGGTACCTGAAAGTTTACATCGTTCCCTCAATTTTTGTCATAGATGCTGCAAGTGTGGGCAACAAATCAAGCTTTTAGAGATTAAAACTGCTTGCTCTTCACCTCAAAAGCAGCAGACTTCTCACATTATCACAGTGTACCTGTTCCACCTCCTCCCACCAAAAGGCCCGACTTCTCCCACAGCTTCGTTTTAAGCTGCTCGGCCCAGATGACCTCTGATGTGCTAGCACATCTGCTGGCCCAAAGCGTCAGTCATCACAGCAGCAGTTTTGTAGGCAGGTGCTTCTACAGCAATGTTTAACTAGGAAAATTTCAGTGTAAAAACAGCTGCATTCTTCTTGGTTTTGAGATGCACACATTGAAATGAAGTCCAAATGATACAACTGGGCAGACAAAGCCCAGTGTTAAAGAAAGTGCAAGCACAGTTGGATCAACAGCATTGAAATAGCACAGTCCTAGGCTATTATTTTACCCATGATGGAGCTTATCTCAAATCATGTTCATTTCTCAAACTGTTGCAGTAAATAAAACCTGAGATACTCTCTGCTAGTCATGAAGTTATACATTCTTTGATAGTAAGTCCTAACCAGTTGCTGCTTTTAACTTAAGTCACCATTCCCACACATTTAGTCACCTTCATGCAGTGTCTTGGAAGTGACATTACAAAGGGAAACAGATTTTAAACATCAATCGGGCCTGCTCAGCAGTACAGCTAAGAGTAACCCAGACTTACTAGTACTTGATGACCCCTGGGTGTTTTGCAATGAATACATACCATGTACCACCCTAACAGACAGCCACCCGCTTTAAAAAAATGCAGCTTTTTCATTCACACTGGGAAAATGCTTTCTTGCTAAAGGCAGGCTTTTCTAGACACAGGTGGGAAGTTCACCTGTTGCGGTTGACTTCGTTGCATGTGTCTTTTGCAGAAGAGGCCACGCAAGCCTCAAGCACGTTTCTGCAGCAAGGAAGCCCTTCCCCAGCTAACACTCACATACCCCATTTACAGATCACCCTCTGCCAGGGTCACACTTCCAGCTTGTCTTATTCACCACTGTTAGTCCCACATGGATGTTTATGGACTCTTACTATTTAGGTAATAAAAGGCCTCCTCCATCATACTGCATGAAGCAGTTTGACATTTTCTTCCTTAGCTTTATCACAAAACTTTGATATAGGAAGAAAAGCACTACCTCTGCATGAATGTGCATCAGGTCCCTTGACTCATGAGCTCTGACTACCCAGAGATGCTCAGCTACATATAATCAAATTTGTGTTTTTCAGCACTGACCTTTCCCTCTGGCCAACTGCACTTATAACTGTTGCTCCTCAACTGCCTGCTTATCTGTAGCTAACCCTCAAAATATAAGCAGTTTTGATTTTAAACTGAAGGCACATGAACACATTTTGTCCTCATTTCCATACAGCAAAACTGTTCAACTGTGGCTAGTTACACTGTAGCCAAACTGGTGTAAGTTGAAAACTAAAACTATCCTTTTGTGAAAGCGCACAAGCTGAACACACAGAAGTCCCTGCTGGAATACCAACTCCCAATACAGCTCCCCAGTGGCTGCCAAGCACTGTGTCTTGCATCCTTTCATTACTCCAGCCACCAAAGAACATTAACTGCAGAGTCATTAGTAAACACTGTTTCTGTAAGTAAATACAAAGAGTCAGTTTGTTAGCACTGGTTATGACTGACATCTTCAGGGACTATTATCTACATCTCTTGTTCACAGACTTATGACTCCATCATCCAAATAAACTCGACTCCATCACACTGTACTGATGGGAGATGCTCCACACCACAACACATGCTATAAGGTTTTGTATCAAAAACTCTCACAGTAAAGATGTAAAAGAGAAGGTGAAAGAAAACAGTTAAAAATAAAAACTATGCTGCATAAGCCACTTCTGGAATTGTATTCTCACCGGTGGAAATTCACCCTCATTCAATTGAGCAAAGCAAATGAACACTGAATAGCAGTCTGCTAGACAGACAACAAATTATTTTTTACTGAACATATTTAATGACCCTCATTTATTGTATCAGCCCAAGTATTGAGGGGCTCATATAAAACCCAAGTGAAAAGATTCAACACTTGTTCTAACATAACAGAACAGATACACAGCTCAACTATCTTACCTCCTTGTTGGTAACTAGGACCCTAAGCTAAGTGAAAAGGAACTCGAGAGCCTTGTGGAAACCTTTCACTCAGGTTGCTTACCCATCAAATCAGAGGACAATGCAGTCAAAGACCTGCTCGTGACACTGTTTTCCCTTCAACTTTGTTTATTGATGTACTGAACATGAAAAAGTACAAAGGATCCAAACACAAAAGAAAACATGTACAACCTCTTAAATACTCAACAGAATATATTTTCTATTCCAACAGATGTGAATTAAGTCATACTATACAACTTCAAATAAATACCAGCCTTATATTTTACTAAGTGCTCTGATAAACACTGTAAAGTGAAGCCCAATTTACATGCCTTCTCATCAATGCCGTTAGTTGCTACAGTAGTATAGGAAAGAAGCATGTAGCTACTGTTTTCCTCACATTGGAAAGTTTGTGACTTCTATAGTATATACAATTTTTAATGCAGAGGATTAGCTTTAACAATCTAAATGCACCTAGGAATGAGGAAGTGCTCAGGAAGCCAATTGGTTTTTGAATAGCATTGAGTGGGTCAGCATGAAAACTCGCTTATTCACTTTAGCACGCGCTTCACAGTATACGTACTGTACTATACTGAAAAATTTATAACTACAATTTAAAAGAATAAGAACCAAAAGCAACTGCAAAGATAGTGTACAACTATGTTATGCATAGAACATTGCTTTTTCTAAGGGGAAGCATATGAGCATCTCAGTTTATACAAAAAGCAGGACGTAACTACATAGTTGTCAGTGCATCCTGGTGAAGGCATCAAACCCTCAGCTTTTTTTTTTAAAAATTTAATTATAAGCTAGATGCTAATCAGAAAATATTCTGTATTTTTTTTCTTAAATTTCTTCAATACATGGTAAAGACTTCTATTTCCCCAAATAGTGATTTAAGCATCATACAAAGTTAAATTTCAATAGCATACAGGTATTTATGGTTTTTGTATGAAAAATGTAAGGAAATTTTTTCAAAATCTATGATTATACTTGTTTTTTTACCACAAACATATTTATAAACAAAAATGTAGCATCACCATAAACAGCTGAAGCTAAACTATCTACAGACAAAAATAGCAACAGATCTGATGCACTGTAAATTCAAGTCCTCAGGACAACAAAAATGAATAAGCAGACCTCAAGTAACAATGTTAATGCCATTTACAAAGAAAAAACTAATACAAAAACATTCAAAATTGAACATCACTTGGCATGTAACTTAAAAAATAAACTTAAATAAAAATTAGCTGAAAGGTTCATAACTCAAGGTCTTATTTACATTACACAAAGCTCAGGTGTTAGCCTTGAACATAACTTTCAAAATACCTCCAAACATACCCAACTCAGGCCACTTCTGTTGATTTGCTACGGTGCAAATCATACTCAATGTCTTTCTTAAGACAAAACAACTCTTCAAACAATAGCAAGTACATCACTAAACACCATGAGCTCTATCTGAAGGGAATTCTTTAGGAAGAACAGATTTTTTTTTTCCCCCATCTCTCAGTATTTTAAGTTTCCTGCTTGCTTTTATACTCTTTTTTAAATTTTTCATTTGTTTCAAAATCACAAATTAATGTGAGCCACCTATCACTTAATAACCAGGATGATCAAAGACTCCACTGATGATTACAAAAATGAAACCAACAGTGCATCCCATTGACTCTACTTCTTAATACAAAGGTCTCAAAAGTATTTCTACATCATAAATCTTTCTAAATTTTCCCCAACAATTGCAAATTTCCTGGTAAGTTTTAAAAGCTCACTAGGTGTCATATGAAGAGATTTCTCAAAGTATTCAAGTCAAAATATTTGTTCCAGGACCAGTAAAAAGTTTCTCCAAATTTTTTTTTTTTTTTTATAAAAATAGATGCTTTTTTAAACCCACATCAAAGAGGCTCTTATCTCTTTGGCAAGGTACTGCTTTACGAAAAGTTCTCCAGTATTCTTACAATAAGCTTTTATAATGTGTTCCCATTCCCCAACCCAAATGATAATTATAAAATAAATACTGCTCATAACTTCATAAATAAAATGTAAACCTCAAATACTTTTCTTGAACAACAGAACAGCAATGCATTGAAATGCAAATTAAACACAAGGCAAATCAAGAAATAACAAAAACTGAAAGTATAACACAAAGCCTCAATATTTACTCATAGGATAAAGGCAGTCATGTAAAAAGAAAAAACTTCTTCCCTTAGCTGAAACATTTTAAAAGGTCCACCTTCTTCAAAGAAGGCAATAGAATATGCATTGTGACAGGTAAAAACCCTGTACCTCTTGTCAATATTCAAACACAAAAGATATTTAAGAAGTTTGAATTCAAATATTAGCAATAAAAAAATCTCACATATTCTTAGGATGCTAAGTAGTCATTTTATCCCCATTTCCACACTGGCATACAACAAAGGCATTTACTAACGCACAAAGCTTCCCGTAAATCGCCTTTGTTGTATAGTTTCAATGTATTAATGCACTGAGAATAACTTGTTAGGCTTTGTGCGTTTTGTTTGTTTTGAAAGAGACCTGCAATACTCTGTCCCCAAGGCGGTATCCATTCAGGCTGGCTATTGCCATAGCTGCCTCATCATAGTTTGTCATAGTCACAAATCCAAAGCCTTTGCACTTGTTGGTGTTGAAGTCACGGATGACCTTCACATTGGTTACTGCTCCGAAGGGTCCAAACATTTGCCAGAGGATACTCTCATCAGCATCAGGTGCCAAGTTGTACACAAAAATGCACCATCCAGTTCCTGCATGTCCAGGGATATTAATTCCAGCTAAACTGGTCATTCCATCAATGGTCATTGGAGGAAATCTACTAAAGAATGGGGGAAAACAAAACAATCATAAAAGTAGCTGTTCACAGAATATCCCAGTAAAGAAATTTCAAAATAGAAAAGAAAATTATACAGGGCTTTTCACAGTATGAACATGTTGGCCTGATTAATCTCAGGTGAAATCACCAATATTTTTTTTCCTCCCCTAACTGCACACATACTATGTAGAATCCTATAATGTATGAGTAGGGGGAACAATGCTAGGTCTGTCAGAAATGAAGTGATGTAGTAAAACAAAAAAGCGCATGCTATAAACTCAGTGAGGATTAGTAAGTCATTTGAAACAAACTCCACAGAACTGCTACAAAAGGTTTGTCTCTTTCACACACAATGCACCAAAATGAACAACCTCAACTGAAGTCTCAACATGCAAAAATCCAACATAAGTCTCACTGAAAGAGTATGCAAAATACTTAACAATAATTTGGATATTATGAACCTAATAGTCCTTTATTACCTCTTTACTCCATAAGCCATGTTGAGCAGATTGTCCAACCTGCAAAACATTTAGCAAAGTGTTCAGTCTTCAGACTTTTCCACCCTTTAAGGAAACCTGGTATATTACTGCCGCGTTCCCTGTACTGTACAGAATCTCATGCAAAATTAAAGTACGACCACTGAAAGAGTTGTGGCACCTTATTACAACTGATAAAGTCAGTGAATACAAAATAGATGTTCTTGTGTAGTATCCACAACCATAAGCAGTTCAGTTCAGAAAGTGCACCGCTACCACAAGTTTAGCCTCAGTCAAATACTGTTGGCATAAAGTTACAGTCAGTGATCACCTCAGTGAAATTTTCCAGATTACTAACTTGTTTTGGACGGAGACTTTACGGAGGCTTCTGACAGTGTGCTGACACGAATATCTAGGCAGACGCGGGGCTTTTGAGCAGCAACAAACATTAGAATATGAACTGCAAAAAAGATTTTTAGTTTTCCTACTTTTTTCCAGAATAAAGTGTTTTTACAACGTACACACACACATATACTAGACTGTAAACTTTCCGCATATATTTCTTCGCTCACCTTCCCCCAAGATGCTAAACTGTAGTATGACACCACAACTCTAAACCCTTTGGAATTACCTAGCCAATAACTGGAACATGCAGTGTCTACCCATTCTATTAATGTTATTCCTGAAGACCCTTAACATGCTTCTCAGAAAATTTCTACTCTGAAGCAGCTCTGGTTTCTTCCTGGAAAAGCCTAGACATGTGAATAGAAAGTCTTGTCTAAGATTCTCTTCAGAACTCCACAAAATATGAGCTTAGGTAAAAGAGGTATACTTAATTTAGATTTTAGCTTACAGCTATCTTACAGATGTGTGCCTTACTGTGATTTCTCTCCAGTTAACGAGCAATAGGATTTAAGAACCAACACTAGTATACAGAATCTAAATTCAAGTGCTACAATCATGTAACTACATTTGGGCAAAAAAAAAAACTGAAGAAAAAATATCTGGTTTCTTGTTTGCAGCTAAGTAAAGGTCTCAAACTACAGAGCATTACGATTCTGCGGCGAGCAGGATTTTTGCAGGATGCACTGACAAGAAAGCAAGACATTGAACTCCTAAAAAGAGCAGGAAAGAGGAAATTAAAAAACACCTGACTACTATCAGTAGTGTGGATGACAGAGGTCTACTGTCATTAACATTTGGGGGTGAAGAGGAAGGTGAAGAGTTCCAGAAACATCATCACTTACAGGTTCTAATGGAGTTAGTCAGTTGAGGACTTCATACAGTAATGGTATCACCGTAACTGTTTTCATCAGTTGCCTGGACAACTTAAAAATATTCTGGAAAAATTCTCTGGGACATTCACTGGACAAATTCTGAAGATGCTTTAAGTTACACATCCCCCAGAAATGAGGAACAATTATATACAGCTGTTTTTGAAAGACCACCTCAAGATTTTTGTTTTTAAGCAAGAAAAAGCGCCAGCATTGTACTGATTCTATTGTTCTTTACTACTAAAGTTTATGCTGACGCCGCTTTCGGGCCTCTGTCAACTGTTAACTGAGACAGGGCAACTGCATCATGTAACCTTGTCTCAAACATCGACAGCCAAGATTTCTTGCATGTGAAAGACATGCAAGATATAAAGCACTGGAGCAATCTGAACTATGTAGTCAGCAGAGCTGGAATGCTGCAACAACTGCAAAGCAAAGATCGAAAAAAACAAGACAAATTTCCCTTGACGGTTATAAAATTTTAAAATTTGGCAAGGTTGTCTCTTTTCGAGAAGAGAAAGAAGCCTGAAGGCTTTCCCGCAAAAAAATATTAAAAAAACCCACCTAGTTTTGTCTGCAACCCCAGTTTACCTTTTGACCAGTCGGTTCAATCTTGTTCTTCCTTCCACATCAATAAAGTGAGAAAGATTTTACTCTCCCTCATACTCACTACAGACTTGGTCCCTACTCAGTGCTTTTTGTTACCATTATACTTTTAAGTGGAGCAAATCACAATATATCTTATGGTTGTTTCAGGCATCACTTCGCACTAGGATCTAAGAAAAAAAACCCAACCACCTTCCAGTGAAATGTAAACAGGTGTTCATAAAAATACATTTCCTTAGTAATACCAAAAACAGCCAAGCATCTGGGAACAAGTGCACTCCCAAGAACTCAAGGTGTCAGCAGGTCAGACTCGCCAGAATATGTTGAATGCTGTAACACACAGGCTGTACAACAGCTCCCTTATCTGATTTGATTATAATGCACTGCAGTCCATCCTGTAAGTGCAACTTCTGGCCCTATGCTCTGCCTATGGAACAATGGCAAGACTACTTTTATTCGATATTCAGCACACTGTTTAAATTAACCCTTTTATTCCCTAAGTAGTGATAAAAAAAGCCACCAAATAATGAATAAAACTGGTTATCTTTTCCCTTAGGGCAGAAAGCCTACTCCAGTGCTGACCTTCACACCTGTGAGACACTTACAGCACATGACAGTGAAAAGCTGAAGAAAAGAAGAACTCAGAAGTTCTGTCAGAAGTGCAGTCCATGCACTCTGAATATCTGGCCTAAAAGTGAGGGTAGCCAATGCTGAGCTTTTAAAGTTTGGTATATTCTTTTTGAAGAAAATTGTCATCTGATTTTATTTCTTGAAAAATAAACCAGAAACTGTTTGACCGCATTACTGTTTAACACATCCCAGTCACATAGCCCAGGGGCAGAAGGTGGGAAGAAATGATCAAAATCACTAAAAAAGATTCGAGGTGCTCATGAATGTAGATAAAACAATATTTGTTTCACTTTATTCTCACTATCTGTCCTTTTCAATACACTAAATATCCCAGGGAACCGCACGGCTGTAGTTTCAACACAACAGGGACATTTATCCGCAAAAAAACATTCAGAAAATATTTGAAGAATCTTCATTGCAAAAGTTTGTAATAAGAGAAGACAGTGTGGCATGCAGGATTTAGACAATGGACTGGGGAAAAAATGAAAGCCAGAGGGCAGGGAAGAAGAGGTTGGCTACGGCATGCCATATGGCTAAAAAAGAAAACTGAATTGCCTAAGTTGATGTTAACTGAATCAACTCGAACATTAATCAACATTAATCTAAGAAAGAGTGATTTTTTTTTTTTTAGTGACTGCATAGAAAAAGATGTCATCTTGGTTTAACTCTATTAAGTAGGTTTATTAGATACTGAAATGCTATCAATAGGATGAATGCATTTTTGCTTTAGCTGTATTGTAGGACCATAGCCGAAGTTCAACATTTTTAGGTGTTCTCTTCACACACAGAAATCAGACAAGGAGGGAAGGGGAAGAATGGAGAGAAACAAAGCTACGGGAACATGTGGCTTCCAGCACAGTTGCACACAAGTTAAGTAAGTATTTGACTTACCGAAAACGTTGAGCCTGCTGTGCTAGAGGTGCTGGATACCTTCTGTTTGGAGAATGGTACAGCTGGGAAAGGATAGCCTGATTGGTTTTTTGGCTTGGATTGTTAGCAAACTTTACAGTGATGGGCTCTGTGGCACCTGGAGGTTTCTGGCCATTCAAACCCTTGATAGCCTCTTCTGCTTCAATTCGCTTGTCAAACCGGATAAAACCCACACCCCTTGATACTCCTGCACCGGGTGAAGAAAGTACATAATAATTAATTCAGAGACTGGAATATTTGATGTTAACAGTTGATTTTCATAGCCAATTGCTAGGAACACATGAGAATTTTGAGCTTACTAGAACTGAGCTGTTGCTCAAACTGGTTAAGACTTTTCTAATATTTGTTGTTTTTTTTTTTTTTAATTTAACTGATGTAAGATACATAGTGTAAAAAACTTGGAAGATTGAGGGAAAACACAGTGGAGAACTTAAACATAGTAAGCCAAAGGGTAATTCTGAAACAAAGCAATCTGAGGGGAAGTGGGGATGGAAGTGAACCCAGAACTAGCTGCACTGTAACCTCTTTTCAGTTCATGCTACTCTACAGTACCTAAATTCACAGAAATTCTGTAAACAGCTTAGTCATCTGCTCCCTAGCAGCAGGAAACAGCTTATGCTCTCCTGCAGCACCCTTTGAAGTTCCCTTTGGAGCAAATATGCTGAGGACAAAGAAAGGAGCGAATGTTCTAGATTGTAATGGGAATTATGGCCTTGTTTTAACAGTCCATGGTTACCTCTAAGTGAAAGATTCAATTTCAGCATACCACCATACTTTTGTAGGTACTATTTTTGAAGGAAACTTTCCTTGGGCCATAGATTCTTCCTTGGTATAGAAAAGCCAAAGACAACATGCAAAGTAATCAGCAAGCGTTCACAGAAGGTCTTAGGAACATCACACCTCAAAATTTATATTATGGCTTAAATATAAACACAGTGAAGTGTCAATACTTGAACCAATTAAAATTAAAGCTACTACAGCCAACATGAGTTAGCTGCATGCTGTGTTGCAATATTCCTAAATCTGTTTAAAGGTCTCTTATATTTTGGCTCGTGAATAAACAGACAGGTTAGCTGCTTGTCCTCACTTGAGAAAGACATTAACGACAAGAAATGTATTCTGTTCATAAACAACGACAATTTAAACCATCAAAGTGACAATGAGCAGGCGTAAGAAAGCTTTAAAGAGGCAAATGTCACAGTTTCAACTTTGCATTTTACATCTGTCAGTTTGTGTCAAAACCTTATTATTCATACCGTTTTGAGTCTATCTCTTCCAAACCACTGAGAAAAAGGAGAGAAGAAAGCTTAAACATGAACAACAGTCTATGCCAGAGAACCACTGTCACACACGAGGATTTATGAGTACTTAGAATTACAGTACACATTTAAAAGTTTAATTACACATACTTACTTGGCCCATTTGTCAAATCCCACCACTTCTATGCACGAATATATAGGAACATACTGCAAACAGCTATTTATTGCACAAAGACTGGAAATCTGACCCACAACACTGCTGCTTCTTCAAGTCACTATTTGGCCTTTAGCTTTCCTTTCCCTGCATCTCTGCACTGTCACCAACTCACACTACTAAAACACTCTGAGTATTGTGTCAATATTGAGATTTCTGTTAATATAACAGAAGTGCAAAGGAGTACATACAAGGTCCTCTACAGGTCAGTCAAGTATCAAACAATAGCATGCACAAACCTTTTAAAGTAAAGGCCATTTGAAAGCTTTATGACCTCCTACCACTGAAAGCTGTTTGTAACCCACAATGACATGCAACTTTTAAAGGGTACAGCTATAATAGAAAAAAAATCCAAGCTAGTTTATTATTTAGGGAATAATTAGGCGAGTAAATTAATTCTTCCGCCCTGCACCCCCAGTTTTTTGGGAGATGAGAATTTGGAGAGCCCTGCTTCTTTGTATTTTGCTTTGCACACTCAATACTTCTGTCACGTACTTGGCATTTCATTTGATTGCTTATTTTTGGAACAGGCTCACTGGAAGAAGGTGAGGCAGCGAATTATAAAGTTCCTCAAGATCAGCCACTTGAGCCAGGAAAAACACATGCATTATTGTCCAAGTTTGAAGAGCAACAACAGAGTGTCACTGACATCCACTCACCGGTTAAGATACATACTGTAACAATGCAACTAACCTGCTAGAGGTTAGTTCTTTAAGGCACTGCCAAACACAGAACCTACCTGCTCCTGAGGAACTCAAAGTTCATGTTCTTCAGTGTTCCCAAAGTTAATGAGGCAACCTTGAAAATAGTCTTAACAGCAATTACCACTCTGGGTCTTTGTAATCCTAGCCTCAGAGAACCAGCTGTGCATTTCTGCATCACATTTTATTTTTATAAAAAAGTGTTTAATAGCATTCCATAAGGTGCATAGGGACTATTTTCACATAGTAGCTTGGAAAGGAAGATTACAGTAGCTGTAAATTTATTACAAGCCATGAAACAGGCTTCAAACCTGCACCTTCAGGGTGGGAATGACTCAAGCTGGCTCAGTACAAGCCACAATCTATTTTTGTCCATGCATATTTATGAACAATTCCAGCAGAAAATTGCATTTTCTGGCCTACATACACCTTTCATACATTCTAGAGACAAGACTATTGTACTGAAAGGTGAAGTATTTCTTAAACTGCCAGTCCAAAATGAGAGGAAGTGCAAAACTGCGTACTTACCAGTGACTTGGTCAACCAGAATACGAGAAGTAATAATGCGTCCGTATTGGGAAAAGAGCTGTTCCAGTTCTTTCTGGGTCATTGTTTTTGGAAGTCCACTAACATACAAATTTGCATCTCTAATAGAAGCTGAACTTGGTCGTGCGTAGGAAACCTTTAGAAAAAGAAAGTAAAAAAAAATCAGAAATCAAGCATTTTAAAAACTGGCAATAAGTGTCACTTGTTCTGAGATACTGAAATGTTTAAAGGCAGCCAGAAAAATTACCTTGCAAAGCCAGTTAAGCGTTTTTTGTTTTTTTTTGGTGCTGGCTTCTGTGAAACACTGCAAAAATGCAACATAGACCACCCAGAAGCAGCTAACTACATGAACTCACATATAAATTATAATTTAAGGAGTACTTTCAAATAAAGGACAAAAGCTAGGTACACACTCCAGCGAGCTGTGGTGGAGGAAAAAGTGTTCTCAGTTAGCTTGCTATAAGATTAAAAAGATAAAGTTAAGAAGATTCAAGAATGTTCTCCTTTTAAATACCATTAAAAAGCATTAAAAAATACAAAGGATAAAGATTTCACTTTGACATCTGGGTCAAAAACACAGAAAGAGAGCTCAAAGCACTTAGAGGTCTGCAAGTGTTTTTCAAGTGCTCTGTCCTTTGTACATGTGTTGAGCTTGCTATCAAATGACACAATCATTCAGGAGGTCAAGATAAACTCCGCTATATCACTTTTATAGACCTGAGAATGAACAGGAGAAGTAGGAATGCAACTTGCATTTCAGCTGTTCAACAGATTGCCGATTTCTGCAACACAGAGGTCTTACGACCAAATAACCGTGAGCTTCTCAGGTCCTTTTGGACAGAAGATTTTACCTGCTGCCTCAAAGTGTCAATCAGATATACTAAGATAGTTAATCAGGTTGTTCAACTCCTAGATACATTACAAAAACAGCTTGTTGAAGAGTTCAGTAACTCTCACTGAAGCCTGTACAAGTGGTTTATCCTTATTACAGAAAAGATTAGAAAATAATATCCATGCTTGGGGAACAGGACAGGACAAAGTAATTTATTTGGGGTTTTCACCATACAAAATATAAAGGCAAGAAGAATTCAGATTTATCTCCTTTCCTGTCCTCCCTGCAATGCAGGATCAGCCAAATCTGGGCAGCTGGAACTTAACTCTCTGAATGTATTTTTTGCCTAACCCTTTGACATTTATTTTCAAATCCTTCCCCTGTCTTATTTCCATGCAGATCATCAGACTCTTAAGAGTCCTGTGGAAGTAAAACAAAAAAGACAATTGAGATGGAGCACCCTGAAGACTAAACAAGGAGTATCGTGAACACTGCTGTGATCATTCCACGTTCTACCTAGAAGCTCTGTGCAACGTGTCTTCCAAAGTTGGCTGAACAGGGCTGATCCACAAAAAACTTGGAGCTGTCCAGGATAATACACTATACAACACAGAGCTCTGAGCCACAGTGCCTTGCTTTTTTAACACAAGAGCCACATAGAAGCTAAAGACTTGTGTTCAAAGTGCTTGTCTTCTGATCTCCCACACAGGCAGCTGGGAATAACCTCAGCCTTTTCTCCTAATTAACTTTTTTTTGGTGAAAATATGCCAATTTAATCATAATTGAAAAGCTGCCGCTGTCCAGTTTTACAGCAGGAATGACAGTTTCCCAGTTTCTATACAGTTTCTTTCCACTCTAGTAAAGCCACACTGAAGAACAGTTGAGCTGGGCCCACTGAACTAAAAATTACCTAGTCCTCTTTATTCTACACGTCCCTTCATTTTTTTTTTGTATTAGTAGAAATATGACTGGGGAACTGTTCACAGAAGAGCTCATGAAGTTTACCACCATCAAGGTGCCATGTACAAAGCCCCAGACCCTGTGGTAAAAATGGATTCAGTGTCTATGACACTAAGTGTAAAAAAAAAAAGAAAACAACCAAAGAAAGACCCCAAACACAAAAAATACCTGACATCCAGTCAGAGCTGGAATCTGCCACGTGGCTCTGCACAGATTTTTTTTTTCTTTAAAAACGTGGTATCTCTTAATTTTTTCATGACACAGTATGAAAAGAAAGTACTAGTTCATTTTGCAAACTAGCTGGGAATTGATAGATTAGATTTTCTATTTTGACTTGATTCTTGCCATTTAAGGAAGTCAACATAGGATTATCCCTAGATGACACCATCAGCTATTAGTTAGAGTCAGATTCACATAGCAGGAGTGTCCAAGACTTTAGTGCCTGTAAACCACCAAAGGAGCCTCTCTAATTACCAGAATTGTAGTCGTAAAGAGTGATTATGGCCGTTTTGCAGCATTGTGAGTAATTTATCCATATACTATGCAGTACCACTTTAAATTACAGCAATGATGGAATCTTGAAAACTACTGGAAACAAGACACTAGATGATAGATGTTACAATGAACAGCAGTCATGTTCCTGCATGTGACACAATACTTGATTCCCAAGAGCTTTTCACAAGGTAGTTGAGAAACTTAACAGGTTCTTCAGGAAAGACAAATACATAATTCTGGTTTCTTAGAACTTGCTAGAGTAGATTGAATATTCAAGTCCAAATCTCATCAGCAACATTAGCTCTTTCGGAGGAAGAAACGAGAGACCCTACTGTTCTATCATTTTCCTGGTTTTGTTTAACCAATCATGCCCTTTCTTCAGATGAGTATTTGCAAAGTCAAGGACGAGTACAAGCAGAACTACAGAAATAAAGATGTGGAGAAAGCATGGTCTCACAAGTCAGACAAAGAGAAGGGGACTGACTTCAGCTACTAGCTGCATTGGAAGATCCAAAAGATCATTTTGGCCAGTTCTGTGCCAAGAGTTTAACACTGAAGTTTTGTAAAAACGTGTTTTGGGTTTTTTTTCCTTCAAGTGGTAAATCTGCTACCATTATACAGCTGTGCAGCCAAAGCTCAATACTTCCAAGTTGTGTTTGAAACTAAATTCTTTTTTTACTCTGTATATTCAACCCTTAAACTACATATACCCATATTTGAAATAACAGTTTCTAGATCTTGAGTCATTTTCACACTTTTCTACAGGCAAAAGTATACACCTATGATATTCCCAGGTGCACAGAGAGTCTGAGAGGTAAGCTACACCAGAATAGGGAATACAGAGATTAAAGCTTCCCTGCATTCAGCCAAAGAAGCAGGACAGCGATGGCTACCCAAGAGGCAGAAAAAAATACAACAGTTAAAGAATGAAAGAACTTGCTCAACTTCCCGTTTGGCTATGAGCTTCTTTAAGAAATAAAGCTCCATGGCACAATGACCTCAAGGAGACTCAAGGCCAGAGAATGGAGACAGACTGCCTTGGGGACCAGACACAATAAAATCCTTAATCACCAAAACCAAGTAGTTCTGAAGAGCTAAGTAAATGTTTGGTTTCAAAAGGAACACTTCCATCCCCAAATTTAACTCTCTATGGTAGGACGGCACAACAGCAAAGTCCATTTTGTAGCTGAACACAATGAACTGTTATTAATGGAAAGTTTCACATCAATGGAAGCAGAAGAGGACAGGCTCTACTTACAGATAAACCAGATTAAGATAGATGTATAGCTGCACGTATCAGCAGCACATCTCAATTTTATCTGTCTCTCTCAAACTCTTTTCAAACAGGCTAGAAGAAGTCTGTATGAACAGACGATACCAAAGGCCTGCCAAAACCCTTAAGCCATACTTTATGGTGCCACTTCTTTCCCAGTCTTCAAACTATCTAGACTTTGCTCTAGAAGTAGTTCTATAGATGTTGATAGATTAAAAAACTCATTTTCTAAGCAATCTAATGCAGCAATTGGACCTTCCATCCAGCTGTCCACGGCTAATTGTCAAAATCATTCTAATTCAACACATTAGATAGAATAAAACTGAACACAATGTAAGCAGAATGTGTTCTTTATGAAGAGAGGACACACACACAAAAAGCAAAGAAAAAAATCTTAAGGCAAATAAGTGACCTGTGAGGCAATGTTTAATACCTAAAACTTCTTTCCCTCCTCGTCAGTGATACTAAAAGTAGGCTAGAAGCAAGTTAACTAATTCACAAGATTTGCCTGATCCACAGTTGAAGTTCAGTAGAGCTGAAAATGTAATTAAAATTCTCCCTTCTTACCCATACATCACCCTGATGGACCCCCCTGGTGATTACCATGGCCCAGCAGCACAGGCATGGGTATCACTGTTCTTAGAAAGTTAGCTGCTAGAACAGCTTTATAGGTCTGGAAACCACGTTGATATCCCTGCTAACCACCTCCAGTGACTGAAGGATCACCTTCAAGACAAATGTCCATCCTAGCAATCAGGAAATCAAGAAAAGGTGACCAGTGGCCTGTGTGGATGAAAAAAGGATTATACTCCAACATAAAACCAAAGTGGACAGGATATGAAAGCAGGAATATATAAACGGTGTCCAATTATGCACAGATGAGGTTAGGAAAGCTAAAGCCCACCTGGATTTGAATTTGGTGAGAGATCTGAAGGGCAACAAAAAAGACCTGTACAAATATATTGGCAGCAAGAGGAAGACTGGGGATAACATGGACCCACTGCTGAACAAGACAGGGAAACTGCTAACCAGGGACATAGAAGATAACTGTATACTTAGTACTTTCCTTGCATCAGTCTTCACCAGTAAAATTTACCTTCAGGGATCCCAGGCCCACAAGAGAGTAGAAAGTCTGGAACAAGGAATACTTACCCTCAGTGGAAGAGGATCACACTGAAGAATATTTAAATTAGACAAAAGTCTATGGGGCCTGAAAAGCTGTACCCACAAGTGCTGAGGGAGCTGACGGATGTCATTGCAAGGCAACTCTTGGTTGTCTTTGAAAGGTCATGGGGAACAGGAGACGTTTCTGAGGAGTGGGAGAAAGCAAGTATCACCCATCTTCAATAGTGCCAAGAAACTCTCTTGCTCTCTGGGGAACTACTGGCCAGTCAATCTCAAGGCAATCCCTGGGAAAGTGATCAAGCAACTAATCATGAAAATCCCCTCCAGTCTAATGAATGACTAAGGTGACCAAAGTAGTCAGCACAGATTTATAAAGGAGAAATCATATCTGACCAACCTAGTAGTTTTCTACAATGATATGACTACTTTGGTGGACAAGGGGAGAACAGTG